GAAGAGCTGTTGTGAAGCTGTTGTGAAGTGTGGTGGCTCCAGCCGTCGCCATCTTGGCAGTCCTGAGTCCTGAATGCCAAAATAGGCACAGACATGGAGCGTGGGTGGAGCTGTGGTTCCTATGACGTCACCCACCTGTCACTCAAAGTGGCCACACTTAATTATGCACAACTTTAACCATTAATAAAGTTTTAAAAGTTTTTGTATCAGGCTGTTTATTGCTGCTGTAAAGTAAAGGAACTGCAGTTTTAGGCGCTTCAGCGTTGGCTTCATTTATCAGCTCAGAAAGTTGCCGCAAAATGTGCCGACAATGTTTCATGGGGTTTATGTGCAAGAGCCTTGCTGTGTTTAGCATTAATGCTAAGCTAAGGTCTCAAACTATTGCATGTGTACCACTGGTGGTATGCAGAGGAATCTCTGAAATATAAATTAATTTAAAAATATATAATAATCAAAAAAAATAAAAAATTCAAACAAAAATAATCAAACTAGTTGAAATGTAATTTAAAATAAGTTTTGCATTCGGTGTAATATTTTGTTTCATTATCAACCTGCTACATAGTCAAGTTCATGCATGTAACGCATGCATACATGCATGATTAATCACAAGCTACACTATGAAGGCAAGATAGTAATCTGAGGTAAAATTAATGGTTCAAAAACACTGTAATCGTGGCTCCAAATGGTAAGAGAAGTGTGGACCTGGAGTGCCAGCATTTCAACCAGTTTAGCTCTGGTCCTCGAAGTGGTTCCATTCAGGATTCAACCACAGTCAGCAATGATCAATCTTAGGGTCGGCCTATGCTACTGTATCGTAACCTCAGTCATGATGGTGGTACTTGGAAAGCATAATATTTTCTGGGAAGAATGTGGTGTATAAAGTTGGAGATGCGAAGCTCTTGACTATATATTTTATGTTTTTATTGCTGCATCACCATAATGTCTTTCCTCGCCTTCTCCTCTTCCACAGTATCAGCTCAACGGCCAGATGTCTCGAATGGAGCCTTGCTTGATGGGCAGCACTCCCCGGTTGCACCCTGCACCTGTCGGCACCCGGTGGCCAGATGTGTCGCCAGCTAACACCTGTTACACCAGCCCACCTATGCATTCATCCCGCTATGCCACCTCTGGGGACATGTACTCTCCCCTGGGCCCACGCAGGAACTCAGAGTACGAACACTCGCAGCATTTCCCCGGCTTTGCCTACATCAACGGAGAGGCCACCACAGGCTGGGCGAAATAGCCCGTAGGCACCGCTTCGGACCGCTGTGTACAAGCTCCAGGCCTGCCAGACTGGTGGATGCAAAGTCTCTGAACACTTCCAATCAAGCACATCAAAAAAAAAAGAAGAAGAGCAGAGAGTGGATAGTACCAATGCAAGGTAATAGGAATCATGGTGTGGATGTACTGACAATTTGAAAAGACTCATTACGTCAATCGCTCTGATGATTGTGGTGTAATTTGTGCGGAAGTTTAATGAAATTTATTCAACAATTGATGTTTTTTGCTCACTGCTGGAGCAAAGAATCGATTCAATTCAAATCATATAGATTGTCAAAACTTGCAGCAAAATCATTTTTAAGAGTGCAATGCTGCTGCCAACCTGTGCCTTTGTTTTAAGGAATGTACACCTCTGCCAGAGTTTCCCCCCTCATCAGCCTCACGCGTCAGCACACACATCATCCGGCCAACCCTCAGTCAGTTTTGTCAATGGCTGACGGATCGGGATGCTGTAAGCCGTTACTGACGTCAGTACAATCTCAGTGACACCGCCGACTCCTCTCGTTGCTCATCACTGTGCAGCATCTTGTCACTGGGCTCGCTGCGGCAGATTCGTTTGCTGCAGGATGTGGATGAACTGTACTGCCTTAACGTTCTTTTTGGGACACCGTAAATACAGTGGCACAAAGACAAAACATACAACGTCGTATAAACTCTTCAAAGACCTTGATCAGTGTGTCTTTATCTCGGATAGTTTTTTTAATGATTGAATGCTGTGACAACAACTGTGCGAGTGTATTCTGTCGCAATCTTTTTTGCTGTTTTCCTGTGACAATATATATATATATATATAGTATGTATTTTCTGTAACTTTGTAACATGGCGTATGTTTTATTTTCTATGTTACAATTGGTACTTTGTTCTCTGTTTTGTATGGTTAGTAAAAGACGCATTAACCTAGGGTTGTGTGTTTTATAATGCACTCAAAGCTACTGAGGACCTATTACCCTATGGGTATTTATAAAAAGGGAAAATATCAAAGTGTACAGTAACATGAAGTCTAGCCACTTTTCTGTAAATAAAAGCACTGGAAACCGTCTGTGGTGACTGTTAAACTATCACAGTTGAAACTGATGTGTATGTGGGGAAAAATGTTGCCACATAAATAATTTCACAAATTTAAAAAAGTGAGTCATGTTTGTCAAAATGTTCGTCTTTTTTTCAACTCTTTATTTATTTATTCTTTTCTGTGTTAAAGTCCATCAAATAATGCACAGAAATGTCCATTTAATACTCATCAATATCAGAACTAGAGCTTAAGTCTTGAATTCCATTGATCTCTTAAGTCTTAATCTTTCAATGTGTGACTATAAGAAGAAAGTCTTTAATATAATTAGGGTAGATTTCACTAACTTGCCTTATATGTTGACTTTATAACTACTGACATGTGTTTTGCTTTTTCTAAATTCTTCATCCCATCTTAGCTTCCCCTCAGACTTCCAGTTTACATTTTGTTGTTGGAGAAGGAAAAACATTTTCTGAAGTCGTCTTTTTACTTCTCTCCTCATGTGGTGACAACACCGTGGGGGGTTGGGCCGGTAGCACAAGGGCCACACTGCAGAAAGAATTACATTTCTATAGAGAGAATGTCCTGCTGTGCTGGGGTCATTGCACCTCAGTCCCGTAACCTTTAACCTCTGACCCCTGCCGAGGTTTGTATTTATTGGAACATAGATCCTCTGTGTTGTGTCTCTCAGTGTCTCCCTGCACGACTCACAGCCGAGACTTTGAATGCAGAAAACCTGTTAAAAAAAAAAAAAAAAAAATGCAACTCACGATTGTGATTTAATCACCTGACCGAGTGTCAATATCAATATCCGCTGAAGATTTCAGATAAAGATTGGTGAGTCTGGGAGTGCACATCGCTGTCAGCTCTGTCAGACATCTCCGAACTACTCCTTATAAACACTGCTCACACAGTTATAACACGTACCTCGTTTTTTAAATCTTTTTTAATAGTTATGTGCTTTAAATTAAACCCATAACACACTGATTCAAGTATATTTCTTATACTTAGTGTATTAAAATGAAAAGATGTGTTTGAATAAGATTAAAATTACAGATCTAATTAAATAAATACACCTATTACCTAAAATATTTCTGTTTAAGGTTCATGAAGGGAAGCTGACCTGTGGGAACATTTAGTTAGGTGGAAAACACATCTTCACTCTCTATTCTTTATAGATTCTCCAGTTTATGTGCATGTCTTTGGACTGTTGAAGGAAGATTGCACAGAAAAAGAGAAAATATACAAATATACTCCACACGTAAACAATATGTAGATACCCTGACCCCATTTATTGACGTGAAAAGTGGCACTGATTTCACTAGGAGACTTTTTCTGCAGTCACAAACTGTAACTGGCTCCAGAATGTTTTGTGTTATTCTGTTATTTTCTTTAATCTATAAAACAATAAGACATTTCAAAATAATCTGAAGGATCTATCCCCTACTTCTTAAAATCTGAAATAACAGCATTTTATTTCTGTGATGCCAAACTCCAGTCATACATTAACATATATTTTAATGTTTTCATTCATAAATATCTTTTTACCAGCACTGTTGACTCAGTAACACCAGGTTTAACTTGATATAAACAAGTGAAAGCAATCATGTTCATTAATTTCTCCGTAAGAGAGATGGAACAGATTGGAAACGTCAAAGAATACGTAGGCAAACATTTTCAATACTCAATGCAACCAAAACCTCAAACAGGACATCTTATAATAGTCTACGAACACTTATGAGCCAGAGAGGAAAAATTCATTCTCAGATAAATATTTCATATTGTACTAAACAATATTTACATTATTTAATATAAAACTGACACGTGTTCAGGTTTATATAGCCTGAATATGAACTAAATAATTCTGCTTTCCCTTATTTATCTGATACTTTTCATACTATCCCCAAAGCACATGGCTTATGTCTGGAACAAGGTTATTATAGTTAACTAAAAACTAAAACTAGGTGCGATAAAAAAAACATTTTATTTAACTGAATGACAGATAAAACAATATTGTGTACTTAAAAAAACGACTAAATATATCTCTAGTTTTAGTCTTTTGTCAGCATCAGGAGGCATTAGTGCATCTCTTTATTGAGACTGGGATGTCAACATATGTACTGTACGTATTGTAACACATATCCTGAACTTCTTAAATCTTGCATTAGACAAATTATATAAAAATATATACACTACTCACAAAAAGTTAGGGATATTCGGCTTTCAGATGAAATTTCAGAATGTACATAAAATGCACTATAACCTTTCCAGGTGATCTTAATTTGACCTTCTACTTAAATGCCCTACTTTTAGATATAATATCACTGTAGCATCAACTTTTTACATTTTCCATAAATTTCACAGGAAAGTGGAATATCTCTAACTTTTTGTGAGCAGTGTAAATTAAAACAAACCTACACTGAAACTAATTAAAAACTAAACATTTTTAAATAATAAAAAAAAATAACTAAAACGAGCAAATCCACTCTGGAAAAAAAAACACCTGAATTAAAAAAAAAATAATAAAAAAAACTAAAATTAAAAAAAACAAATAAAAACTCTGCAGACTTATTAAAAAAATATATAAAATAAAGTATATTAATGTTTTATATGATGCAGTTTATGTACAGACTGTGTTATAAAGAGACAGTCAGGGGAGTTTCCCTGTTGACAGCAACACACACACACACACACACACACACACACACACACACACACACACACACACACACACACACACACACACACACACACACACACACTCTCAGCTAGCCGCAGAGCTAGCTCGTCTCTCTCTAAATGTCCACGATGGATTTAAACATCATGTTGTCGCAGTTTGACGCCGCCAACGAAGAGGACGTCGACCAGCTCCTGACGCAGTTTAATCGAGAGGTGAGTCTCGGCTTTGCTTTTTGTTTTTATTTATTTATTTATTTATTTTTTTTACCTCAACCAAAAACAAACGGCGATGCTAACGTTAGCGCGCTAGGTAGCTAGGTGGCTACGCGGCTAACTTTAAGTTGTCAGCTCGTGTGAGCTGAAGGTGTTGATATCTAACGTTGCCTCGTTAAACATGTAAAACAAAAACAAACCCTGTGTTTGAGGCGAACCGAGTGTTGACAACGTTGTCTAACTTTAATGCTACTGCTCTGTAACCATGTTAGCTACTGCACTTACACACAGCTGTATTAGCAACATTAGCAAACGTGTCTGAGATATATCTTTATATATCTAATACATCCGTCTCAGAGAGGCTGGGGGTTATTGGCTCTATAGCTAATATGTATCTTTTACATGTCAGTGTGAGTTGTTTGGTGTCACTCAATGAGCATCTTATCTGTTTCAGAACAGTCACACCTTTGCTTTTGAACAAAAGGAGGAAACCCTGCGGAGTGTAAGTACTAGTTACCTGAGCACTATGTTTGTGATATGATCGAGGTGGTGTTGTAATAATCTACAGTGCTTTCACTCTGTGTCATTTTCCAGAAGCTGTGTCAGAGTGTGTTGACAGTACTTGGGAGGCAGGTGCAGCCCAGCTGTCAGAAGACGTGTCTGGAGACACTCCGCATCCTGTCCAGAGACAAGCGTGTCCTCGCACCTGTAGCCACCAGGGAGGGCATGCTGATCCTGGGAGGGATGGCGAGGCTGCGTGCCGGAGAGGAAGAAGTTGACAACGAGAAAAGCTCTGAGGAAGACGCCCTGTCGGAGGAGGAGGAGAGGGTGGTGGTGGAGGCCTTGAAGTGCCTATGCAATGTGGTGTACAACAGTCCTGCAGCTCAGCAGGTTAGTGTAGACGTGCAGCTGGCTCATGGTCTGTGTGCCAGCCTGCGTAAGGCCCGCACGTGGCACCACGAGGTGGGCCTGTTCACACTGCGCCTTCTCTTCCTGCTGTCTGCCCTTGAGGCCCGACGTGAGAGGCATTTTGAGGAGAGATTGGCATGCTGTGAGGCTACTGTCGGAGGTTCTGGAGCACACCTTGGATGTGCGCTGGGTCGGTCCCTATGAAGCTGCCCGTCCGGATCCACAGGCCCTGACCTTGCCCGCAGAGGACAATGAGCGAGCAATGGAAGCACTGAAAGCCTTGTTCAACCTCACGCTGTCTTACGCTGGTGGTAAGGTGAGTGTTGTTAGTTCAAGAGTGCGTAATGTTACAGTTAAGGTTCATATTGCACAGGAGTTGTTGGGGTTTGTTGTCTGACTCGTGGTTTTAAGTGTGTATGGAGGGGTTAAGAGCAGGTCAGGTATGCATGACTATATCGATTATAGATTAGACTCTCCTGGACCAGAAACATCATGCATCTGACCCCCACAACAACTTAATTATATCTATCTATCACTAACCGTTTCTCATGTTTACGTCTTTCTGAGGAAGACCCTCAATCATTCTTGAATGTGAAAACACTGTAATTCAAGATTAAGTTCATGTATCAGAAAGAAAAACACACAAAATCACTATCAGGTGTGTAGTGAAGTCATTATGAATAGGTGTTCCCGGTTGAAAGCACAGCCAACATTAATGTTATCACTGACACTTAATTTAAGGATGCACTTACACATTAATACAGAACTTTTGAGAATCAGTCAAATCAAAGTGTCTGTTCACCACTGACCCCTCCCGGCCCTGTTGGAAAAAAAAACCTGTTACACAGTTAATTGGAAACTGCAGACATGAGTCATGTTGCACTCACCAAAATGGCCTCCTCTCTTTTTACTTTCACATTTAACTCAAGTGGTGTATTGACCATCGTGTTTCTCATGTAAATCAGATCAGTCACTGATATCCAGTCCAGCGTAGGCCTTTACACAATAGACACTAGGCTCCTTTCGAGCTGAGCCAGGCCTGTGGGAATCGATCACCGGTGCACAATGCATGCCAGTTAGATATGTGCCCGACTTGATGCCAACTTGCTCTGATGTTATGCAAAGCCAACCTCACCAGATCGAGGCGGCCGTAGTTTTTAGAGCCAGACGCCCTAAAAAATAATCACATTTATTTGCGTGATTACAATAATTACTGCGATTGTAGGCTGTAAGTCTCATGTTGTACAATGAAGGTTAGGATAGGAAACTACAGGTAGTTTACAGATGGCTCTAACAGGATGTAAATATTTATGTGACTTCTTGTTTTATATTCTATGAAAGCTGATCTCGTCCACTTTCATCTCGAATGAGTCTGTTCTCAGGTGTTACTAATAACATTAACAATGGCTCTGTTCTTTGCAAGTGTCCCAGTAAACCGTGTCAGCGAGCCAACATGATGTCATTATTAATTATATTATTTACACTTTCTTACAGTGACAAATGTATTCAATGAAAAAAAAGGCCTCTTTACACCAATATCACTTTTATGTGCCACACTAGCTCTCTATCATAGGCTGCACACACAGAAGACACACAAAACCTGTATCATCTTATCCTGTATGCGTTTACCATGTGTCCATTACATATGTGACTGTGATTGATGTCGTTATGATATAGTTATCACTGTCAAACTTGGCGGTCTTGTCTAAGACGGTAATTAAAACATGCTTGCCACATTTCATGCAATTTCGGCTAAAAGGGACACGTGACGTCAAAGGCTGCAGCTAACGCAGTGTAAGTCCTGATGACACCAAATGTAGCTCTTAGGTTCAAGTTTGACCCTGCTCTCCTCTTTGGTGACGTAGAAATCCAAACCTCCTCTTCCTCCACCTATTTTGATCTCATTTAATCTCTTTGCTCTCCCTTTTTGCGCTGTAGTCTGGTTGTGATGCCTTATTTAATATTAAGGCAGCTATTTTTGCAGTAGGACCTTTTGCTTCCAGTTTTCCCGTCCTTGTAGCTCAAGTTTTATTATTACCTTCACTGTTTTTGCTTTACCCCTGAACAATGAAAAACCGTCTTGAACATCTTTGATTTGATAGGACGACGACCATCAGTTCCGACTCATCGCTGCCACCCTGCGTCATCTGTTGATGCTGAAGACTGAGACGGAGGAGAAAACAGAGGAAGCACACAGGTGGGAAAGTCTGCCCCTCGCTGCTCTTCATAGTTTAATCTCTTTTAGTAAACTGAACATTGAATGAAGGTGCTATGAAGTTTGCAACCTGAGAAAAAAAACACAAAACTCGCATGACAAGGCCCCCTCGCATGATGCTTCTCTGTTTCATAGCTTCTAGTACGTAAATGTGTGTCCTCGCCTGTGTATTTGGTTGTTGTGTCTTTTACTAGAATGCAGCTTTTCAAACTCTGTTCCAGACTGATTTGCATAGAAAAGCGCACAGACAGACAAAGTGCTTCTGCCACTGAGCAAATTAACTTGCATCCATGGTCACAGTGGAGTCACTGTGATTTGCATGTAAGCACCCCTCTGGAAAAGAGTGTCGACTGAGCAGCTGTAAGAGAGAAAAATTAAGACCGATAGGACAGCCGTGTTTTGGGGGAAAAAACACTTAAAGCTCAACAGAGATGTTTCTTTGGTGCCTTGTTTGGTTGTTTCATCGTCTAAATTCTCTTAGCTGTCGTAATACTACAGCAGTATCTGCTTCTCATGGTAATGAAATGCAGGAATGCCAGGAATCCGTGCCTATAGACTCAGATTTAAACAGCGTCCTGTATAAGTGACCGATGTTTCAATTGACTTGTCAAGTCGTTGGCTGCACTGGTCATGGTAGTTTGGCCCATTGACCGGCGTAACTTTAGTGTGAGTATGTGACAGAACATATTGTGAACGGGTAAAGTTGTTTTTAATATAATAAACAAGTTGGTTGATCATATTTACAAGAATCGTTTCCAAATGTAAGCAGTTTCAAGGTGTTTAAAAATAATAACCAACTTTAAAATTGGTGTGCGTCACTAAAATAAGAAGACATTTCTCAAAAATCCCCACAGTTTGGGATGGGACAATATATAATAGTATCGCATATTGTGATTAAAAAAAAAACTCTTTAGATAAATGTATTGTGGTGAATTTAATTCCTATGATAATTGTAAATATACTCACATGGCTTGACTTCAAAAAAAGCTGTCTAGCTCGCCAGCCTACAATCATATATTGATTTCCTGATTTATCTTTCCAGTCATTCCAAAATCCTAATCCTGTCAACATGGCTGAAGGTTTAGCTGTGCCCTACAAAGTTCAACCGGATCTGTATAGATTCAGAAATAAAGAGATATGGGGGCCCTCCTGTAATGGAATAAATATGTGTTTAAGTGCTATTTTCAACAGCAAGTATGTATAATTCTGTGTATTGCTATTATTATTATTATTATTATTATTATTATTATTATTGTACAAGATTACAATACACACTAGCACACAATATTACTAAGATTGTTTTTCCAGGTGGAGCTACACAACATTTTCCTGTTATGTTACGAATTATGAGCATCGGACCTGCGATATTTAGTGTTGGCAGTCTTCGCCATAATCATCAAGCTTTTCCTTCTAGATGCGCTGCGCAGCTAACCAACCAGTTAATCAAAAATGTGATGAACAATGTAAATGTCTCTCACTATAAAACTTACATTTCCTGTATATTGCTGTCTTGACAACAAAGATATGAATAGTGTGTCACAGATGGGAGTTAGATGAAATGATTCTTAACTTGAAAGCTCCTTTTACCCCACGTGAGCCAGATCGCAGCCTGAGGTCATCTGGCAGCGACCCATCAGCTGTTCCAAAATGTAGATTAAAAACAAGAGGTGACTGGTCCTTTGCCACAAGGGCTCCTTGACTTTGGAACAACTTGCCTCGGGCTAAATGCTCCAAAGCTTTAATCTTTTTCAAAAGCTTTTGTTCCAAAGCTTTCATCTATTTCTCATTTTCTTCACTTCTTAAATCTAATTTTTTAGACTTTTACCTCCTCAACCCCACTGACCCTTTGGCAGTCTCATCTCAGAGGATTTTTGGTTTTAAAACACTACTGTTGATCTACGTCATTAAGAAATACTTTTATGTCTCCAGCCATGCCGTCAACCTGCTGAATAACCTGCCTGTGTCCTGCCTCGACGTGCTAATTGACGTGCCTGTTCAGGGAGGAGAGGAAAGATATGGTGGGAAAAACATGGATGCAGTGCAGATGTTACTAGACTTCATGGAGAAAAGGATCGACAAGGTAAAGTTCATCCTCTGCAGCGAATACAGTGAGAACTGATTACTTATCCACTATATCTGTTTATGTGCTGTTGATAGTTAATAATGAAACTTAAATATGTCCTAAAAAGTGGACATAATAATGTATGTATATGTATTGTATGTGTGTGTATATATATATATATATATATAGTAGAGGTTATAGTAAATAGTAAAGTTATTTTGTGCAGGATTTTATTGAACATATGCCTAAAGTACTCTTTTATTAAAGTACAAAAGTCTTGGCATCAGATTATACTTAAAGTACAAAAAGTAAAAGTGCAGAATGATCAAAATAATATATTATTATATAATTACTGATGCATTAATGTCTTCATTAATTTAATTACTTTGTATACTTCTGGGTAGCTTAATCTATAATAATACATGATTGTTTATTACTTGATTTATTTTTGGTATTAATAATCTGTAAAATAACTAAAGTTATCAAATAAATGTAATTGAGTAAAAAGTTCAATATTTGCCTCCAAAGTATAGTGAAGTGAGTACAGTGGAAGTATAAAGTAGCATAAAACTTGTATTTAAAAATTGTACCTGCTTACAGTCCTTGAGTAAATGTACTTAGTTACACTCCACCACTGGTTATTCTATATTTTGACACTCCGATTTTCAGTTTTACTGCAAATTATCAAAGTCAAAGTATCAGTTTCCTTCGCTACTAATAATCAGTGTCTGTATCGGCACTAAAGAAAACATATTGTTTGATCCCTAATTCGGTTTCTTAACCAATCATTCTGTCTTTACCTCCTTATCCTTCATATTACCCACAAATGTTCTACTGATTAAAGTCCATCCGTTGTTCTAGCTTGTGAAGTGTCTGTGGTTTCTGTCACTCCAAGCAGGGCTCCAACTACAAAGAAGGTTTGACTCCGGTGCTCAGCCTTTTGACTGAAGGATCCAGACAACACAGGGAGATCCGCAGATATATCAAAGCTCAGGTACAGTAGCAAGCATTTCTCCTGCTGAAGGGTCTGCGTAAATACTGAAATCTAACTAGGATCCTAACCAGATTTTAATTACCTTTTTATAAAACAATAAACTTCATAATCTCTGCATCTTTAGGTACTTCCCCCACTGAAAGACGTGAAGATCAGGCCAGAGATCGGCACCACCGTTAGAAATAAGTTGGTTCGCCTTATGACACATGTTGACATGGGTGTGAAGCAGACGGCGGCAGAGTTTCTCTTTGTCCTCTGCAAAGAAAGCGGTGAGTGTGGAGGGGCAGCTGTGGTTGTGTCATAGGAGGAACATCAGATGAGGAAATATGAGAAAGAGCAGGTGTGATGTCCACATTGCTGTATGTATATGTAACTTCACATTGTGTGTCTCCTGTGTCGTCTTGTAGTGGACAACCTTTTGAAGTACACAGGATATGGAAATGCGGCAGGACTCCTGGTGGCTCGAGGACTTCTCGCGGGAGGGAGAGGAGAGACTCAGTACTCCGAAGATGAAGACTCAGACACAGAGGAATACAAATCTGCAAAACCCTTGTGAGTACTCTGCACAGCACCTTGTTCAGCACAGTAATGTGTATGCATCGGTACTGTATGAACCTTTGCAGCTGTGTATTAAACTTGCTCGTCTGCTTGTTCCAGCATCAACCCGATCACCGGCCACGTGGAGGAGCCGATGCCGAACCCAATCGAAGAGATGACAGATGAGCAGAAGGAGTACGAAGCCCAAAAACTTGTGAATATGTTTGACAAGTTGTCAAGGTAAATATACTGAACTAGAAAGAACTCTTCAAAGGACTGCATCCTCTCAGTTTAGTTTAGTAATATTACATTGGTTTTATTTCTCATAAATTCTTCATGATAAAAGTACCCATTTATTTTATGTTTATTATGAAGCAACACAATGAGGAAGTGTTGGGTTTTCATTAGTAACTTAACTTCTACACAGCGGAATGAAACTATAAAATAAAGCTGATATTTGAAACAGGAAAGCAGGAGAGAAACTTCAAACCACAGAGATTCAGTTAGAAGCTACAAAAGCACTGAGACTGAACACTCAGAGACAGAACATGACAGAAATTGGGAGTCAGAATTTCTTCATTCAGATAACGGCTATAGTTTATGAGTAAAATGCTGAAAGTGTTTAGATATGTTAAGAAATACTAGATCGGCACAAACCAAATGTTCCAGGACCCATGGCCCGACTCTCCACCAAGTCTAATTAAAATCTGCTGATAGAGTTTTGGTAGTGTATTTGGAAAATTCAAAAGAAATCCAACTAAGAATCAAACAAACATTAGATGCTACAGAATCCTTTGACAAATAATGAATTGTGTTTCTTTTGCGACCGCTCGACTAAGATGACAAAATTTTTCCCGTTTGAACAACTGTTGCTTCCCCTCGGTCAAATTATTCATATTATTTATTGTTTCCTCTGCAAAGAGTCGTGCTGTATTTGTGTTGACCTTTCCTTAGTGAGCTGAAGCTAACATTAGTCAGGCCCGTACAAAGGTAACAGTGAGCTCGCTCCCTGCCAACCCATTCATCAAAGGAAGAATCTCTTGCTGTTAGCTGCAGATTCAATTAGGTCTGGACTTCCAGCACACCGCAGCATTCAGCTGGAGTAAATGGGGGCTGCCGGCACGCCACTGCACCATCATTACCACTGCTCCGTTAATTATCACCTAATTGGTGCACACAGACGGCTCGTCGGTCCCGGCTCCTTTTATGTGTCACATTCAGGTTTTTAATAACACGTGTGTCCTGACTTTTATTCTCCTCATTCTGAGGAGTCAGTCATTGACCAGACAGGGAGTGGACTGAGACAGAGGCACCATTGGACAAAGCAATTTGGGTGGAACGTGGACGAGGAGGAAGACACACGGGCGAACAAATGTGCAGACATAAGAAAAGCTGACCTTGTCATTGTTCAGCCAAATAGGGAGTGGGGTGGGGGGGTTGAGCTGTAATGAGGCACGTGCTCCCAGAAGAGGAAGATTCCTTTCCGAGGCTGCACCCTCTTTCTTCTCCTCCTCGGTAAAGGGGATGCGATGATGACGGAGAGGTGCTTCCTCAGTACAGGCTCTAAGGAGATCGCTCAGAGCCCTGCAAGAATGTGCTCCCCTAACTGCTTAACTGGTCCTCCAATTAGCACATATTTTGCATCCCCACCCACCAGCCCCTCTTACATCTGCCAGACCCCCAGTCACTGCTGAGGAGAAGAGGGTTTTTTTTGTTGTTGTTATTGCTCTAATTGGGGAAAGAGGATGTTACCTGTTTGTTTTTGTCTTGTTCGCCCTCTTTGTACCTGCTGACTTTGACACGTGATGTCAGGCCGTGGCCTGGTGGTGCCTCTCTGCAGATTTCATCACCGAAAAGACGCCACAATATTTTCGGATTTAACCACATCAAAGGTCTTCTCCATCTCCTATTTAAAAGAACTTAACCTCTAGATGTCCATAGCTAAGTTCAGTTTAATTGCAGGAATCAGTAGGAATTACATAGCCATTTATATTTGAATCTCTTTCAGATGAATGCAAATGGGTCCCTTTTTAAATCTTTGATGGATAATTCTCTGATAAATCATCTTAGAGGGAGTGGTGACACACAGTGCAGGTATAATTGGATTAGGATGAAGGGGCAGCCGTGGCTTTGAGGAGATTAGTCTGAGCGCTGATCCTGTAATTAAACTGCCACAGGAGAGGAGGGCAGAGAGGGAGAGAGGATGGCCAGACAGGGGCGAGTGTCCATGAAGGGGGGGCGGAAGGGGGTTGTTGAGTGAGGGTCCTCGAGCTCTGGATGTAAGAGAGTAAAGATGTACAAGTGAAAGCCCTCTTTAGACTGTCAGTGGATACAAAGGCTCCTGAGTTGGGTTTTGTCTACAAAGTTTGTTTACTTTTAAAATATACATGAAGACAGTCATGTCCATTGATGTGTTTCTGCAGTTTGGAAACCTTCCTATCAAACCCCCTCTCAAGTGAGCGTCTCTGATGGTTTTTCTTTTTGTGTCCACAGGCAGAACGTAATCCGGCCAATGGGTGTCAGGCCTGACGGGACGTTAGCACCTCTTGAGGAGACGCTCTGTGATCCACCTGAGGACAACTCAGAATCAGACTCTGACTAGTGCACTGCACATTTAGGCCCACTTGTTCCAGGCTGAGCTGACCGGGGCCCCAACACGTCTAAAGCTGTGTCCCATTTCAAGGGCTGGATTGAGGATGATGCCCACAAAGGTGGGTCCTCTAGAGGAGCGAGGCTGAATCTGTGTCTCCGCCCCTAAAATAAGAGTTCACTGTCACAGAAAGAGTATAGAGCAGAAGTCAGTCAGAAGATCCACATACTGCACTGATATCTCCCAATGAATCACTCTATTAACTTAAATGGACCGACAGATATCAGCAAAATGTGTGGATCTATTGTCGAGACTACTCAAACCCAAACTAATGGTGGAATTTAGGCTCAGTTTTTCAACTTATATCACCACGAAATCGCATAAAATTGGACGACAAAGTTTAAAGAGTGTAGACCATGTAGGTAAACTGCAGTGGGTGCAAAAACCACAAAAGGCCCCGCTCCCTCTGTAGATACAAATGTCTGAATCTAAGGTAACAAAAACACAACAATTCTTATTTTCAGGTGATTATACACTAATGAAAACATACCTATGAATATTATATAAAAATGTATGCCAGTAGATCCTCTTCTAAATGTTACACACTGGACGTTTTAAATGGTTGTAACTGGGACACGTTTTGTGATACCAGAGTTATCTTGTAACAAATGCAGTACAACTGGCAAATAGTGTATCAAGTTAAAAGTAAATACATCCATATAACTTCTATTTATCTGTATGTTTATGTCAGGCATCTGTTACTTAAAATTAGCTGTGTAAATTATCATGTTTTTTTAAATATATAAATATATATAGATGTATATTAAATGCAAATACAAAATCTGGTAAATATGACAAACAAAAATTCACAATTTTACCAATTCACAAACAGTCGCCTGAACACATCGCTCAACAGTGGACCGGTGTGCAAAGGATTTTGGGTTGCGGGATCATTGATCGTCTCTAAGAAGAAAATGGCTTCCTTTGCCTCATTCAGAGTTTCGTTTGAAGGGGGACAGACCTCATCAGCCCATTATGACGTATTCAGTCTAGAAATGTCCGGCCCCGAACTGGGACACAGCTTAAACTTGTCACAGGAAACTTTTGAGGCTCTGTTCGCAGCTGTAAGTGGACTTGGACGTGTGGCAGAAAGACTGGCAGCACAATGAATCGGAGGCCTCCGTGGTTACTGTTGCACCTTTTTAATCATTTATTTTCATTGCTCCCTAAGTTGAGAAAATAGAGATAATATAATTTTTGCTGGATTGTGTGAATGTCACTGAAAGAACTGTTATGTTTAAAAGTGTAATTAGGTCTGAATAATCATTCCTTCACCTGTGCTTTTGTTTTTCACTTTTTATAAGTTTCTCTTTATTTTATTTTTTTCCTGCTATCTGATGATTTTGTCCACTCTTTTTTATTATTTCTAGATTATTAAAGTACACACACACACACAAAATCATTGAAAACTGTTAACAGTGCACCGAGTTCTTGGTTTCATGGGGCCTGTCCGGTAAGGACCACAGGTTTGATGTATATTAAGAAATCAGACGGTGTCAGTGTGGGCAGTTTTAACTTGCAGCTCACAGCGAGTATATGTGGTGATGTAATGATCATGAATGTTGCACACACACACACAGTCTGTCGGCAAGGAAACTTTCTAGATTCAGGGCTTGTTGGCTTACTGTCGACGACTTCTTTTCGCTTAAAATCAAGACTTTAAATGGAAAGATGCAACATTTTCCTGCGGTGGATTATAGTGAACAGATTGTTTCTGCCTCTTGTTGACAAAGAAATGTGTAAACTGCAACGATTGTTTTTAATCCATGTTACTTTTGCCAAAATCTGCATGATGTTAAATCTGTTCTCTGTGATGTGAATTCCTTTTTTTCTCCCTTTTTTTTTTCTCTAGATTGAATTTTTTGTTAATTTTATATAAATCCACAAGTTTAGTGTATGTATAACTGAATAATAATATTCCTTTTATGTTGGTACAATTTAATCAAGTATAAAAGCTGCCAGTTCTGAAATCAGCTGCATGGTTGTGTACGGTTTGGGTCCTGAACTGAAACCCTGCTCTGGATTACAGATACATTTGTTTTTTAAATCCAGACAAAGTGAATATTAACCAGAGAACTTGTGTCATTAATACAGGAATTGATGACCGTTCACTTGTTTTGATATTGAGTAATCATGAGCACACTATTCACCTGACCTGTGAATCACCACTACTGCCTGCTTACACACACACACACACACACACACACACACACACACACACTCACACTCACACTAAGTCAGATCAAAAAGATAAATTATTTCGACTTGGCCTCACACCCAAAAAAGAGCTGACTCAACATTGTGAGTCGCCTCCTAAATCATGTGACCGTTAAGCCACGAAAGGTCAGACATGTGCGTCACAATTTAAAGGAAAAAGCAACAATTAAGTGTCTTAGTGAGGTCGTTTGGCCTCCAGAAGCCTCAAGAACAACTTCAGTGCAAACAAATGTTAATACTTCCGTTTTGTTATGTTCCTCCACTCATTTCTTCAGGTTTTCCCCTTTAATTTGTCAGGCATCTGTGGACCAGAGTTTGTTTCTATTGTGCTTTTCCTTCACAATCAGTCCAAAAAAAAATATCTACATTGCATGTTGATCACTTCTCCATGTAGAAAGAATATGTTATGGGAATATGTTTGTTCTTTTTTTTGCAGATTCTTTACATACTGTAAATAGCGCCACACTTAGAGGCTTTCACTGAAACATTAATAAAATGGAGAATACAAATAGTGGTCATTTTTGAATCTATACTACACAATAAAAAGACAGAAGAGATGCAAAATACACAATACTTTTATTAAATATTGTTTAAAATACAGTGTGTGCTAATATAAAACATTAACAAGAACCCTTTGTTTCAGGACTCATTTTTTTTACTAGTGTTCTGGATGGACCCTTCCTCTATAATAAGTGCTTTAAATGTGCTTTTAAACTGCATTTGATGTCATTTCTTGATTTACACGTGAACATGACACACTGGGATGAAGAGGTAAGATGACCATATGGCCACTAGCAGAAAATAACCAGCTGAACGGTAATGTGTACACACACACACAGTTAACAGGAGAACAGTCTTAGTGGGAGAAACTCTCAAACCTTTCCAGTGCCGTTGTTTATGAAACATGCAGTGTCAATTGCTCAGGCTGGACGATGCGGTGCTCTTGCTGTCCGTCTCTGAGTCGGTCTCTTCGCTGCCGCTGCTGGCTGCTCTTTGAGCTCCTGGTCTGGACCTGGATGTCTCCATCCTACCTGGAGGTTCTGGAGCTCTTCTGCCCGGGCACGATGTCTGTCCGCTCACTGACGGAGGGCTGCTGATCAATGCAGGGACGCTCTGCAAGAGAGGGAAGTTGTTGCCACAGTCAGAAAGTGTTTTAAAGAAGGACCAGTGTGTTGGATTCAGTAGCATTGTTAGCTCGTGTCTGTATTTGACGACGGGCTGTGAAGTGTGTAGAAGAAACTATGGTGGCTGCGAAATGTCTGAAAACCTCAAATGGCTCCATCTACAGCCAGTGGCAGGTGACGCAGTGTCTGTAGATAAAAACAGCTCCTTCTAAGGTAACAAAAACACACCAATTCCTATATTAAGGTGATTATACACCAATAAAAACATACCTATGAATATTATATTCCATTTCTGACAATAGATCCTAAATGTTAAACACTGGACCTTTAAAATAGAGCCCAGAGAGATTTATAGTTGAATATTGTGGCATGAAATCTGACAAATTACCTCAAGTTATGTCACCTGAGTGTCGTGGGGGATCAAGACCAGGGGTGCTTTATATTATGCTGACATGTCCCCTCACTTCTAAGAATGTTAGAGAGAGTTGAGAAGAAGAGACGAGGAGTACGGAGGAGCCAAAGCTGCCAAACTGGCTTCAGTTTATATGTATAATATCCCTACTTTCTCTTTTTCAATTTGTTAATGAAGAACCCAAACAGACTCACATTAACTGCAAGAAGGCCTCAAGGATGAAACCCACCATTGTTTCCTGACTCCTCATCAGCTCTTCAATCTCATCGTTCCAGCCGAGCATTTCTGCAAACCTCCGCACTGTCTCCTCCAGGTCGCCCAGCTCCATGTGGTCTCCTCTCCGCGGCGGGACCTTCTCAAAGGGACCCACGGCGTGTCGGTTCAGGAGGAGACGTGGCACCGTGGAGCGCACCGTGTTCACCAGGCTGGCAAAAGGCTCAATCTGAAACAGGGAATATTTGTTCAGATGTAACTGAGCTCAGGGTTCACCTACTCACAACATGTAGTAATGAATACATATTAATTAAATGTTCACCTGTAAAGACGTGCCCATAATGATTAGCAGGTCTGCTTTGGGGAAGTCTTTAGTGTGGAGGAAATACTTCTGAGGGAGGTCCTCTCCAAAAAACACAACATCAGGTTTGACTGTTGCGGCACAGAATGAGCATATGGGGACGTTGTCATTCATTATGGCGTGCTGTGAAACAAGAGAAGAAAAGAAGTGTTACTCTGGCATCAAATGACCAAATGCAGTGAATGACTGTTTTAAATTTGAATAGTTTTTGACCACTGGGGTTCAGACATACCTTAGCCTCCTCAGCAGGGTACGCAGTGTAGCACAGGTGACAGGAAGCTGTGGCAAAACTACCGTGAGCTTCCACAAGTTTGTCGTCTGGGATGCCACAAACTGTGAATAAAGTATTAAATATTGTAAGAGCAAACGAGTGTCAGTACGCAACTAAAGTTATGCAAGTATGTCTCTTGGTGGTGCGTTCATGGACATACTGTACTTTGTACAATGTTGTATATTGTCTCCGTCCTATAAAAACCATGTATTGACAAAATCCATGAATCCACCTTTAAACAAGAAGAGCTTTCATAATCTTTCCCTGCTGGCAGCTGCGTAACCATGTGATGAAAACTAAACTAAAACAAAGAAAAGCTGATTTTCTGAGCACAAACATTAATAGAAACCAATGGCTGCCTGGAAATTAAGAGTTTAATCTCCGAACAACACGTCAGAATGAAAGTATACAGAATTTTCTGGCTAAAATAAGCAAAACTCATGTGCAAGTCACTGGGTATCAAAAAGGTGTTTTATGTTACTGTATTTTGACTCTTCTGTGATGTTTGGTCTTTTCTTTCATGCCGTGTCCTCCTGTATGAGCTCTGATGTTGTCTCGTTGGTTTCTTATCATATATAACAGGGGCTGCAGATGAATAATCACATATTTACATCATATTGATGGTAATCAATGAGAGTTTATTATTTCTGTTTGGTTACATATATGTTAAAGATATAATATGTAACAATTCCACAATAAAATGTCTATAAACACTAGACCTATGTTATAGATTTTCTCACCTGTCAATGGCGTCATATCCTTAATGCTTTTAACCAATTTTTGGCAACATTTTTACAATGGACCTTTTAAGATTTTGGTGGTTTTTACCATATATTTGAACCAGATGAAGGATTTTACTAATCGGATGTCTGGATCTAAAGTTCTCAGAGAAACAAGCTGAGCTAACGTTAGCAGTAGCTCAGCTCGCAACCACTCCTGAGCATCCTTTGTCTGCCGGACAGCATCGGAGAAACACTGACTTTTAAAAAGGTGAAACTGCTTTATTCTGGTTTTAACCAGCAGGTCCGTTTGTTTTGGAGAGGACGAGACCTCTGTGGATAATTCAGCCCCCTCTAGAAACCTCCTGAACAATAAACCCTGAGACGTGCCATTTCACGATGACATCAAACATCTTTTATTATTGTTTAGATGTGAGAGACCTTTCACTGCTTGTACATAAGTAATTGATATAAGTAAGTGATGGGTATGCATTGCATTTGCATTTTAATGTGTAAAGTTTATACAAAAACAACCTTTCAGCTAACCTACAGCGTGAGTTACAGTTTGATTTAAAGATCCATTTCCAGCTGTTGTTTGTTCCCTTTAAGCTCTCACTCACCTTTCTCCAGTCCGTCAATGTTCTGGGTGTACATTCGGAGAAGCAGGCCTTTGTGATGGAGCATGCGGATGAAGTAGTGTATGTAGTTGGGCCGGTGGCTGCCAGGATACAGAGCCTTGGCCAGGGAGAAGAAAGGCTGCGGGTCGTTGGAGAAGTAGTCGATGTTGAAAATAGCTTCTGGGTAAGGGATGTTGTATTTCTCCACGTTGGCATAAAGACCTGTTCCTGGAGTTCTGAAAGAGAACAGACATTTTGTACATGTACGTTTTGGGATATTAAGAGTAGCTAAACATGTTTACAATTTAGGTTTAGTGTGAAACAGAACCAAGTATGATGAAAAAATAGGAATATAATAGTAAAGAGAATGATGAAGATGAGGTAGAGAGACACCAACCTGAAGTCTGGGATGCCGCTGGCTGTGCTGATTCCTGCTCCGGCCACCACCACCACGTTCTTACAGCGGCCTAGCTTCACCAGCCGAGCCACAGAGGCCAGACCCCCCCTGGATGATGACTTGGCAGCAACCGCTGAGGGACTGCCCTGATCAGATCTGGACCCAGAGGACTGAGCAGCCTGCACAGGGTCACTGCTGCCTGTGGACACCTTTCCTTTACTGGGGGGAAAAGGCCAAGAAAAGACACATGAAGGCATCCTGATCCAATATGAGGCAATCTCAGACATGATCACTTGCTGTTATTGATAGAGAGAAGATTTTCCTGTTCAGATGTAATATGTAAATTCCTTCGATAACTACCTCAGGTTCTGTATGAACAGCAACACTGGCTGTTTGAGGAAAAAGAGCAAAATATCCAGCTAACAGAACTTATGTGGACGAATGGCAGCATGAATTTAACTTGACCTGACAGTTAGGACACAAAGAGGATGAGTCTGCCTTCAACTTACCACAATGTAAAATAAATATTAAATAAAATTAATATTATACATAAATATCACAACAAAGTGTGGCCTCCTGCTCTTATTTGTGTTCTCATTAGTGCCTAAAATGGGCTGTTACTCACTGTCACGCACTTCTGATTTTTGGCCACGTGAGCATCCTACTGCCACCTGATGAGTCTAGGTATGCACCCCTAAACACCTGTGTAACACTTGTGTTCTGCCAAGACTGATTGGCTGGTGTTCATTGCCTTCGTTGGTTTGGTTGGTTAGGTTTAGACCGTGCTGTCAGAGCCAGAGTGTAGTATATCTAACTTAACGTTGAGAAAACAGCACTGATAATGTTGTGTTTAGGGGGTTAGGGTTGGCACCTTTCTCAGCCCTTTGTTCCCCTCTAAAAATAAAGTAGAAACACAAAAACACAGGTTCTTTAATGTGTCCTCACCTCAGACTGTCCTGTCCGCTCACACTCATCTGACTGAGGTTCTGGGCCAACGCGGAGTCCGTCTGCTTCTTTCGTTGTTTTCCATACGGACCCGGCCCAGAGTCTTGGGTCTCTGTGGGGTCGGTATGCCTGGAGCTGCGAGTTATCCTGGTGACTGGAGGCTGGGGGGCTTTTTTATCCCAGCTGGACCTGGACCTGTTCATTCCAACACCTGTTGACAGCAAGAACAATAACAAATCATTCAGCCTAAATGAAACATCAATCACTGTTAATGAGCGTTAACACACGTTTCCTTTCCTCTGTGCTATCAGCTCAACGCGAGATTACATACACACTACATTTTTATGTCAGACCTGAAAACAACAAGGTTTTATTTATTTATTTTGGGAAAATATCATGATTGCTTGTTTATTTTCTGACATTTTTTTAATTCTCTTTTTCCCCCTTAAC